CATACTATACATTAGCATAGCACACTATACTGTACCACACTGCAGCACTTGGGTCTATCTGCAGGGTTCCTGCTGGTTCCTAGAATGTTTTTTTGTATTTATGATCTTCAATGGTTTCTCTTGTTTCTTGTTTTCAAATTATATATTTATAACATTATATTAAAGATAGTAGTCCACATAAAAAGCAACTAATGAAAGAATAAATAAAGAGTGCAATGAAAATAAAGTGTTTTTCAATAAAAAAAAAAAAAAGGGGAGGACAGAAAAATAAAAATATGAAATGAAATAAGGAAAGTTCCTTAGAGGTTTTATGGGTGACCTTTAAAAAGCCGTTTTTATTTAGCTTTTAAAACGTGGCGGGGAAATTCCAGTTCCTGGGGGCCGCTGCTGTGCAGCTTTCTGATCCAAACATTGGTCCAACGCCTAACCCTAATCCAACCATATAGACTTTAGAACCCTGGTCCACCAGTGGAAGCAGGACGGGTCTAGATGATGGATAGCTGCTCTATATCTGGATCCAGTGCTGGTCCAGTTCTCATCTCCACACTGCTTCTCTCCAAGGTTCTGTCTTGTTTGCAGATATGAAGCAGAGTTTCTCAGGCAGGTTCTGGTGGTTCTGTTCCAGCTGCAGGGAAACGCTGGGTTCTCCATCACACACAGACTGGTCTACCGGAAGGCCGTCCAGGGTCTCTGGGGAACTGGACTCCCTCCAAGGGTTGTCCAGAGACGGCAGGTCTGCGCCGGCCGAGGCCGCTCTGAGGAGCAGCTGCAGGAACCAGAGAGGAAACCAGCTGGTTTAATGTTCTTGCAATATGGGCTCCGATATCCGGCTTTGAGTGTTAATAATCCACCAGAAGTTTCCATGAATTAATGCTTTTAACCATCAATGCAGTATTTCCAGCAAAGGCTCTTAAATTCTGCTGATTTAGTTTGAATTGTTTAGCGCCACCGAGCAGCGAGATGCTGATGCAGCCATCTTGCATCAGAAGCAATCATGCATTAACACTGAGCTGCAGCTGGATTCAGCTGACTCGCTCTCAGTGGACGAGGACGTCTCTCTGTCCTGCTCCCTGTCTGCTCTGTCCCGGTTCTGTCCCGTCTTCTTTGGAGCCTCTTTTTGCATAACTTCCTAAACTGTGAGTTCTGGATCTGGTCGGTTGGTCTCTGACTTGAACTGATCAGATGTTGCCGACAGATGTTGCTTTACAAAGGGTCCTCTTATACAGCAGTAAACTATTTTTCCAGACTAGGAAGGACTCCCGCAGGCCTGTGGAGCGATATTTTCTCACCAGTTTCCTAGCATTTTGCTGGTTTAAGGAG